TATTCTTTAGAAAAATTAACATAAATAAACAACAAAACAACCCACCAAAACAAACATTCTTTTGAACGCTTAGCATGAGTAATTATACTAAGATCCTTTATAAGTTCATTTAAAGATTCAAAAATGAAAATCTTTACCGTTTCTAAATCTTGAACAAGAAAAATACCATATAAAGCTCCAGGGAGGTAATCCTTCAAAAACACTTTGTTGAATTCTTTCACCCCCGCTCCGCAAATGAAGTCGTGAACTAACTTCCATGATTTCTCCACGGGCGAACCTTGGCGGAAAAACTCTTCGGTCAAAATTTGTTGGGCTTGATTGGTTGATATATGATCAGACATTTTTAAAGAAGTAAGAAATTAAAGAAGAAGCAAGAAAGGATGATTGAGAAATAGATGATGAAGAAGCTTTAGAAATTGGCTTTTCTGTAGTTAAAATGAAATGGAATGGAACACTGTAAACATTACGAGTAGAGTATAAATAGCTAAGAAATTAAAAAGGAAAAAAAAATAACCAATAAAAGAATGGAGGTGTACGCATACAAGTATATGCATATTGCAGTACATCTATGCAAATTACAGCTGTCTTTTTTCTAATTTGAAAATTACAGTATGAAATTTAATATGTGGCAGTACTACTAGTATAGGATTTGCAGAGGGGTGTAATGTACGGAGTCCAGAGATAAAAAAATTTGGTGGAGTAAAGTGTAAACCCCTTTATTTTGGATGGATGTGGGGGAAAGTTTGTTTTTTTGGAGAAATTATTATTGTGTGTTTTATGTTTATATTTGTTGAGAGACTTTTTACTCCAATTCAATGTTTAGTGGGTAGGTAATGTTAAAATTTTGATATATGTTAAAAAAAATTAGATACTTGTCTATATACGGGGAATATTATAAGTTTTAAAAATTACTCGTATAAATTTATAACTCGATAATTGATTTGAAATAGGTTATAAAAAGCTGATACGAACACGAAAACAAATTTATAACTTCATAAGGTTAAGTTTGGATTAAGGCCAGGGTTTATCAATCTGTTTAATATGGGCAAGAACACAAAGTTAACACGACGTGACCTATTTGATAGCCCTAATTTGAAGGTCGGGTACTATTTAAATTTTATTCGGGTACATTTTGAGCTTTATTATATTCTTATTGAAGAAGTACCTTATTATAGTTTTTTTTGTTTTTTTCGTGCAATGAAAACTAGAATTCAAATTTGAGAAGAAAAAAAGTTAGCGAAAGACCCTTGTGATTCACCAACTCGTACAACAATTATCAACTTCTTGGGGATCCTTATGATATAATGAGACTAATATATTTTAATCATAAACATTAATCAAAATAAACTTGAGTTAATCTTACATTATTTTTTTATTTTTTTTTGGTGAAAGTTAATCACTTAATCTTACATTAATAAACTTGAGTCTTAAATTCAATTATTCAAAGTGGGTAAGTCAAGATACTCAGTACTAGGTAGTTTCTAATTTTTTTTACCACTTGTATTTATTTCAATGTAAGTTTGTGAAATGCATATATAGTCCTTACAATTGGCTCCCCTGGGGCAAAGGGGAAGCTGTTTTTAAAACGAGGCAATGTCCAAAGCTGAAGTAAAGATTAAATGCCTGGCAGAAGAAAAAACAGTTTGTGCTTTCCCGAATCAGACGCGGATTACAAGCAACTTGTACTAATTTAGTAACTTTCAAAACGAGCTGTAGTAATTTGTTCTCATGAGTAATTTATGGGTAAACTGGTAAAGCATTATGAGCTGATTTACGAGTTACGACTATAAGATAGTTTTAACTCAGTTGCTTTAAATTGTGGCGGTGGTGATAATTCGTATCATTCTATCATTTTCTGCTCATAGGTGGTTAATGGTGTAAATTGTAAAATATATATACTTCTTATATACACTACGGAGTATATTTAAAAAAAATAAAAAATAAAAAAACTAAGGTTGTGTCTAAGCTAGTAAGCTCTAAAAGCTCTATAATTAATTGAGATCTAATCTAGCACAAAGTCACAAACTATGTCACGTCACATTCGTCCACCTTTAATTATGTTGTACTAAGTACAATCTTTTTAGGATTAAAATAGCTCAATAAGCTATTTTCTTGCATCGATCCTATACTAGTTCCTTTTATTTAATTTTTCCGTCTGCTCATCACTATCACTTATTTTTTTTTTTTTTTTTTTTTTTTTTTAAGAAATCACTATCACTTACTTTAAAAAAATACTATGCAATATATTAAAATATATACTCGTATAGTCATATTGCCAACAGATCAACGGTAAGTAATCTATCTTTACGTGGGGAAAAAATACAATGAAAAAATACAAAGAATATTGATTCCTAAATTTAATTGTATCCTCTATCAAAAAATTATAAGCTATATGCAAATATCGTTAATTCGCTTAGATCTACTTATTCAAAAGTAATTGAGAAACGTAAGATGGAACGAATAATGTTTAGGTGATATTTTCTTGATCACGATCCGTGTAAAAGGTTCACGAGCAATTCAACATGATCAAGGGTTATTAACTTATTACAGAGTACAATATTACGTATGTTCATGCATAGATATTCCAATTTAATATTGATAAGAGGAACATGATTACGAGTTCGTTATATATGAAAAATCTTATTCAAAATAGGTATTATACATTAATTAACTTAATAATATTGATTAAAAGTCAGGGCATTACACGAATCCCCACTTGTGCGTGGACGTAATTCTAATACATCAAACCACGTAAATTCTTGTGTTGTTGGATCATCTTCTTTACTACTCGTATTTTGCTTTAATAGGATTAAGATTTACGTTTAGATTGTGTTAATCTAACCTCAATAAACTTGAGTCATATTTTCAAAGTGGGTTAGTCAAGATAGTTTTTTTTAATTTTATTTTATATATTTATTTCGATATGTAAGTTTGTCAAATGCATATATAGACATATAGTCCTGCACGAAATGCATACACATACTTTTTCTTTCATGGTCTATTGCAAGCCCGTCTCTTGGGCGGTTTTTTCTCACCCGCAAACAGGGCCCCCAAAAATTTGGGGCCCAAAAAATAAAAAAATTTACCGAATAACCCAAAAAGAAAACCCTTTCATTTCCTCCTTAATGGCTTCCGGGTTGAATGCTCACCATTACCAGCACAACAATTCAACAAACTCTACAATTTATCATGGTTTTAAATGATTCTAATCTCTTTTTACCCAAAATACAATTAATTCTCTTAATTATCACTCTCACCTTCCCGTTCCTTTTTTTTTTCAGTAAGCAACTATGTGGGTCAGAACCATCCAATTATTCCAATGTCTCAAATTTGTTATAATAGGGGCCTAAATTTTATTCTTAACACATGGCCTCTATATATCCCGAGACGGCCCTGGTCTATTGTCCCAACTCCCAAGACTACTCCCAGCCAAACACGCTTAACTATGGAGTATCTTAGCATATTAGCTCCCAAATTAGGGATGAGCCTATTGTGACGAAATGCACATCAAGGGCCAACAACTGTCCCAACAAACCAATACAAGTCCTTCCGGCGCATTTTGTCCTCACTCATGCGCACCCGAGAAAACTTCCCAAGAGGTCACCCATCCCAAGACTATTCCCACCCAAGCACGCTTAGTTGTGGAGTATCTTAGCATATGAACTCCATACAAGAATGATGTATCTTGTTGATATGAGTATTATATCAAATCCTTTTTAAAGCAATCATGAGTGGTATTACAACACTAACTGAGGTTGATCTCAACCATTAACAACTGGTGCAGCCAAGACCAATTGGGATCATTGTTCTACACTACTTCAACGCTTTGGGCCTTTAATGGGCCTGGGTAAACAACTGCTAGCCTCCTAATGACCTGATTGACCTTAATTAATTATTATAAAAGATTTACTAATAATCAATATTTAAGACAAATAAAAGACATTAGTCATAACTCAAAAGTGTATGTTCTTGCAATATTTTGTAGATATTTATAAACTGTTTTGTGCAGACAACTAATGAATCAAAAAGGATTCCATGTATTCTAATAAGGAATCAAAATGATAGAGTATAAAACATATTTTTGGGCCTCAACTATAAGCTTATGATCCGCGTTTGGTTGAAGCTTAGGAGTATGTTTTATACTCTATCACAAAAGGTTCTGTTCTTTGATTGATTAGTCGAAAAACACTATTAATTGAGCGTAAATAAATGACACATCGTCCACAGCGATATTTTCAAATATCTATTCGCCTCATTCTTTTTTAACAAAGGATTAAAAATTCATTGTTCAATTTGAAGAACAAATCCCTGATGAATGAATTGTGAACGAAACATATTAATTAAAAACTACAATTGAATCATTGAATGAATTGATAAATAAAACTTACAAAATTTCGAAAAAAGAAATTTGATTGTGGATGAAGAACGTACAATGAAAAACTTATTTTTAATTATATTTTAATTTCTGGAATCAATCATGAAATTAATAAATGAATTTCAGAAATAGAATAATTAATTTTTGAAATAAATAAAATGAATTTCAGAAAATAGAATAATTAATCTTTGACATAAATAATATGAATTTCAGAGATTTGAAAATAATTTGGCTTAAAAAATAAGTCAAAAATATTGATGACATGGATAATATCATTCAATGATATTGCGACACTTAGGTTAATGTATGGTAGTTGTATATCAGACGACCGCTATAAAAATCATCTTATTTAAGGTAGACTTGCATTAAGTTATTGTAAAACATGTTAAAGTTACCTTATTTACCATAAAAGTTATCATTTTTCTAACATAAATTTACTTTTAGAAAAACACTTATAATATATATTTTTTTTGGTGCTCCACTCGGTTCACCCTTAAGGCTGATTCGGATTCGGGATCAATTTTGGGTAGTTGGTTCCAGTCCCCTCCCGATTGTTGTTGTCACTTATAAAGTTATATTATATTAGATTAATAATATTTTTTTTGACAAGATAGATTAATAATATTAACTTTTATAAAATGAAATTATAAAATATACCTTAAAGTAAATTAATTCCGTCATAAATTTAAAATTATCCAGGGACTAAAGTTTAATATAAAAGCGCAAATAAAATTTGTATCCCACATATCACCTTTTATACACATACAAACAACAACAACAAAAACCTTATTGTTTCCCAGCTGTAAAAAAAAAAAAAAGAAAAAAAAAAGGATAGATGGTCTGATAATATTTCGTTATTACTACGTATAATTTTAATGAACTAGACCCCTCACCCTCACCCTCACCCTCACGGCCTCACCCTCATCCTCCAATTATCAATTATGCAACTATTTGGATCATCTCCTTTCTTTCATTCAACTTAATTATTATACCCTAAAAAGGGCAAATAAACTCTCATTTATCACCCTTTTTCTATACTTGTATTTTTCTTTTTTGGGTTTTTAAGTGCCACCCTGTTACAAGTTAGTTACACAAAATTAAATAAAATTAAACAAAAAGCTCCTTCTTTTTCCAAGCTGGCATATTATCCCCCCCAAAAAAAAAAAAAAAAAAAAAAAAAATAAAATCACTCACTTAATACAAACACAACAAATCCACTCTGTTTTTTCTTCTTCAATTCTTCATCTCACCTCTTTTTGCATTTCCTTTTCTTCCACTTCACCCAAAAAAAAAAATAAAAAAAATACCAAGAATCTCAAATTTCTCATATTTCAATAAACTTAGCTCAATTTTAATACAATTAAATTGATCAAAACATGTCAAATTCAGTGGGTTTAGAATTGGAAAGAAAGGCTTCACCGGGAAATGACATGGAGAGGGGATCACCCGTGGCGGCGACGGCATCCGGAGAAACAGAGCACGGTATTGGATCAATCCTCCGGCGATGGAAAAGAGAAGATTTAATTAGAAAAGGGTCATTAACTTTAAGAGCTTTGGCTTTGGTTTTTTCTTTACTTTCCTTTATTATTATGGCTAGTAACAATCACGGGGGTGGACAAGACTTTGGCAATTACGAAGAATTCAGGTATTAGTTTCGGAATTTATGACAAAATCACGCGTCAATTGGTGCTATTGTTGATGTATTTTATTTGTTGAATTGGACAATTGGAGTATTAAATTGGGATTTATTTTATTTGTTTTTGGTGATTGAAAATATAGGTATTTGCTGGCAATTGCAATATTATCGACACTATATACAGGATTACAATGCTTTAGACATGTAAATGAATTATCTAGAGGGAAGCAATTTGTTGATCCCAAAACTGCAGCTATGATTGATTTTGTTGGAGATCAGGTGGTTTTTTTTTTTTTTGGTATTATTATTTATTTATTCATTCTAATTTTTACATTATTCCAGAAAGTTTCTGAATTTCTGAATCTTTGATTTTTCGTTGTACTTTTAAAGTGTTCTGTTTCTTGGATGAGTGTAGAAAGGATAATCCTAGAAAATACTTTATCTTATTGTTTTCTGTTTATTCTTTGTTGTCTTTATTCCATAGTATATTGAGTAACACTTGGTGGTCAAGGGTATATTTGTCTAATAAAACGGGTGACAAATGGAATACGAGGGGGTAGTGTCAATTACTCATATAGTCGTATTCAGTAGCTTTAGGTACACTATGGTCTATAATAGAATTTACGCTTAAGCAACTTAAGAGTGCTTCCCTTGTATTTGATGTCATGGGTTAAATTGATTAAGCAAATTTTATAATGTCCATTTTGTTCAAAGTTACAATTGTTTAAAATGTATGTGGCACTGTGACAGCATTAGTTCATATAACTCCAATCATTTATTTTTTTAATTTGCAATTTTCACTATTTTTTATTAGATTAATCAACTTATTTGCTGATATGGAAGAGGGGATAGGTTAGCTTTCATACTTATATAATGCCATGTTGAACTAAACTTATATAATAGTCGCGAATATGAAAGCATATGTGATGCAAGCAACGATTATGTTGGTAGCTTTAAAAGTGGTAGACCGAGTCTTCTTTTGTTTGATTTCTTAATTTTGCAAACATGTTGAACTTTTGTTATGGGTTAAGGCCCTTTGGTGGATGAGAGTTGAAATTTTCATGCCTGTCTGCTTTAGTGTGACATGATCATCATCTGTTGTTTAATAGGTGCAATATACTATTACATCTTTTACTTGGTATTCTAGCTTTCAGAGCATGTAATGCTTTAAGTATTGGTTGTGATTAGTGACCCAATTTGACCTGCTAGTCGTCGTTCATGCACTTTATTGGTCAAGTCTACTTAGATTAGTTAATTAAGCTTTTCCTTGAAGTATTGCTTATTAATTTAATCAAGAAAAAGTCCATATAGATATTTATCAACAGAGAAATGTGTTGCCTGTTGATTCTGTGGTACTAAACTAAATCTGAAGCAAATGTTTATTTGCAGATATTGGCATATTTGTTACTGTCATCAGCCTCTTCGGCCATACCTATGACAAACAGAATGCGGGAAGGAGGTGATAACATTTTCACAGACTCATGTGCAGCAGCCATAAGCATGTCTCTCCTTGCTTTCATTTCATTGGCATGTTCATCCGTCATTGCTGGCTATAAGCTCTCTACTCAGTCATTTATATGAAAATTTCCTCTTATAAATATATTTATAATCTAAACATTCTTGAACTTGATTCTTTCATACAGTATAGTCTTTACATATTGTTTATATACATGATTAGAGTTGGCCTTAGGCTATCTGATTGGAACCCTTCAGGTCACATATTGCCTGCAACTTATTGTATGTAATTCTTCGTTTTCTTTTCTTTCTTTTTCTTAAATGTATATTTTAATGAATATTTGAGTATAGAAATTCACTCCTAATCTTTTCTCTGCTAACGGCTGTTATTGTGTTTAAAGTCGATATAGAAAACAACATTTCGATTTGTTGTTCTGGATACAGTTTGCCTTAATTCTCATTGTTTTGTCTGATTGGAAGTAACCAAACATGTTTCTTTAGTTTCCGATCCAAGGGTCAGAAAACCAAGGTTATTTTTAATATAATGATGAAACATATGACATTATAGCTCTATTTTCCCCCTTTTCTTAGCTTTTTTTCCTCTCTTGACTGAAATTTATCCTGTTCTGAAAATTAGAGTAAGGACTTTTCCTGCTGTTGATTCAGAAGAGTAAATGCTGAAGCTTTGATATTCAACTTGGTGGAAATATTACATGCCTAAATATTTTGATGGCCTGGGAAGCTTTAAAGCTTAAGGGCCTTTCAACAAATAAACAAATTACCTAACTATGATTATTCTGTGGAAGCTAAGACTTAGATAGAGTCTAAAAGGCTTGTAGTATAATTTTTTTACAACAAAGAAATACATGATTCTAAACCTAATTGTTAAACCCTATATTTCATTTGGGAAGTTCATTCCTGATTTTCAACGAAGAAGAGATTCTAAAAACATGTTGTCGATTGGCTCTTCCTTGGCTTCTGAATTATTTCCAAACCCTGAGAACCCAAAGCTGCCAGTGTTTTGCAGCATTTGTAAAGAGAAAGGTGTCTGGTGAGCTTCTGGTCTTGAGGCACTTGATATGTTGTTGTTAAGAGGCCTTAGGCCGATTATCTGGTTAGGTTGGCTGGCTATGGCTGATGGCCTGACAGGCATTGGGGCATTGTTATAGCTGGCACTACCACGAGCTGCTGGAACATCGTGGTTGTGCTTCCCCTCATAAGTTGTGATCACGGCCCTTGTGTCATGGGATGCCCTCTCTATGTGCTTTCTCACAGGGCAACCTGAGCTGGTGCATTTGTAATAGCTCCTGTAAAATCAATCAGATTCAAACATTAGAACTGCCTATATATGCATAATCAGATCGAACTTTGCTAAGAGGAAAACTTGCTCATGAATTGATCAACTCAAAACTATGTGCTCACCTAGGATTGGGGTTGCCCTTCACTACTTTCTGCCCGTATTTTCTCCATCTATAACCATCATCGAGAATATCAATCTCACTGGTTGTCTGAACAATTACTCTTGGTTCTTTAACTGTTCTGCTACCATACCCTGACATCACCTCCCCTTCATTCTCTCCTTTCCTGTGAAAAAAAGTATCAGAAACTGATCAGAACAAATTACACACTTCAATACAGCAGATAGACGAAAACAGGAACTAGAAATGAAAAATCTCTTACCATCTTTTGGATTCAGGTTCATGATCATCATCTCTAGCTGATTTACTCATTGCAGAAGTCTGATCAAACTCATCATCTTCATCCACAGACACCGAGGATGTCTCAGGTGTAAAGGCCGAATAATTATCAGTCTGTGCCTGAATAAGTGCTGCATTAGAACCCTCTGAAGCATCAAACCCACTGTTACTGTTATTCTGCACAGATGATCTTCTACCAGGCTGAGGCTTAGGATGGTTGTGACTCCCCTTGTAAACAATTTCAGTCACATAACCTTCAGGAGATCGTTCGACTTTCTTCTTTGTAGGACAAGTTGGGTGTGAGCATTTGTAATAACTCCGAGGATTTTCGCTCCCCTTCACTTGCTTCTGTCCATATTTCCTCCAACAATATCCATCTTCAGCTCTTTTCTGAGCTCTATTCATCTGAACTGGTGCAGCATTGTAACCCCTCTGAATATTAGCACCATCTGATTGTGTTGTGTTCATAATTTGATTATTATTATTAATATTAGTATTAAACTCGGGTTTCGAGTTAATCTGATCTTTGTTAATCATCTCATTTTGCTTCTTGGGTTCATCCAAATTCCACCCTTCCTGCACATGTTTAATGTCAGACAAAAATGTCAGAGCTTCATTAAATTTTAGATATTATTAGGTGAGAACATACAAATAGAAAATAATAATTAAAGTAATTATCTTTCCACAATTTCATTTTATTTATGTATATAACTAAATAGGCTTCTAGAAGTAGTGGCGGCTATATATCAAAATTAAATTAAATACATATAAATTTCTTGTCATTTTATGCATTGACTTAGAGTTTGCAATCCTATGCAAAGTCTTTTTGGTGGGCATTAAATTATATAATGTACGGTTCTCAATTAATTATATATCTATTCAACCAACTCATGCGGTGGATTTTTTCTAGGATTGAAATAATTGTGCATACTTGTATTATTTATTATATTAATTACAATATTAATTTGTATATTTATTAATATTTTTTATGGTTTTGGATGAGATTTAGAACACAACTAATTAATCATCAAACAAGAAGAAAAAAAAATAAGAAAAAAGGACTTACAATTGAATTGTTTGAAGCATGAAAAGTGAAATTATTGTTACTTCTTCCTTCATCTTTGTTAGCACCAAGTTGAGTCCAATTGAAACTCTCACCACCAAAGGCTCCTACAGTTGGCGATGGGAAACTCTGCACATATAAAATAACACACCTTAGTTAATAACCATAATATAAATAACCCCGACTGCCTGAGGCAGGATTGGGGAGCTGTATGAGGTTCAGATGTACGCAATCTTATAGATAACAGGGCGAGTCATTGAAAATAAAGTCAAAGAAAAGAGATGAGAAAAAAAAACTTACATTGAGCAGAGGCGAATCTAAGAAGATGGAAGGGCTGAAAGCATTAGGAGTGTTCAAAAACGAGGAAGACGAAGCAAGAGGAGTAGGGTCGGCGACAGTAAGAGAAGAAGGAGCCAAAGACTTAAACTTAGGAACTTCAATCAACTGATCAAATCCTGACCAATTACTACTACTACTATTACTATTATTATGATCATTATTAGTGAAATTAGTATTCTTCTCCTTGGAAATAATGTTGTAATCACTCTCCAACAAATGATCATCATTCGTCGTGTTGGCGAAGAAATCAGTGAAGGAGGAGGAGGAGTTCATGAGGTTAGTAAAGGAGAAGCTACTATTGTTGAAGGATAAAGAGGGTTCTAAGCTTGCAACCGAGGAAGACATTTGTAAATGAAAGATTTAAGTGTAATGGGAATGGAAGTTTGAAGAGGAGGATATATGGAGTAAATAAAGAGGGGATTGTTTGGAAATTTTTGTGAAGTGGGATTGTGGTGAAGATGGCTTGAAAATGAAGGTCTTTGAGGAGGTCTTTCTAAGAAGGTGAGGGAAGGAAAAGTTTGACCGTGGAAAAGGGTATTTTGGGAATTTTGAGGAGGAAAAAATAAATGATTATAATGAGAAGGGAAAAGAAAATATTTTTAGGGGAGAGTCAAAGCTTGTGTTCTTGACTTGACTTGGCCAACATTTTCTAAAAAAGTGGGTCCCATTTGTGGGGGTATAAGTTTGGAAATCAAACAAGAGGAGAGAAGAGGAGGAGAATGCCATTAGAGCGCCGGCACTTTGGAATGATATCTAGATTATGCCATGTGGCATGCAATGGCACGTCACTTGTAAAAGGTTGTTCCTTCATTTTTAGTGCAAATATTGTAAGAGCAATAGAAATGACAAGCAATAAATTAAAGATTGTTGATTTGCTTTGTTTAGGCATCTCGAATCATAGATGAAGATTATCTAGTCAGCAAATTTTAATTAATTAAGATTATTTGTTCTAAGCAAATAGATAAACTGTTTTATTAGTACATGGAAAAATACATGCGAGTACACTAATATAAAGATAGGTTAGCAATAGATAGATTGTTTTATTAGTTAGTGGAAAAATATATGTGCGTACAGTAATATAAAGATAGGTTGGATGGAGATGGAGACAAATGAATTTATCTATGGGATAACTAAGCAAGATCAATTAGACTTGTCATTTCATAAGATGATTCATTGGGCATCATTTTTACATTTCTTTACAAAGTAAATGGTAAAAAGTTTGGTCCATGATCTAGTCATCAGGTTCGATCCATTTGATTTAATAAATTGGAATGGAATGAATTGGGAACTAATATGATGGTCATATGGATTGGGAACCCCATACTTTACCATATTTGTTAGGTGTGATATTGGAATAGATTTATATCTAGTTAGGGTTTGTATCTAGGGTGGAATGGATTAAGAATCATAGGGGTGGAGGTGGGTATGAAATCATAGGGGTTATAATGGAGATAGAAATTGCAGGGGTTGGAATGGAGATAGATACCATTGAAGATCCATAGCAAAAAATGCTCAACCAAAACCCCTTAAGTTAAACTTAGATAAATTTTACCCAAATTCATTTGAAAAAGGAAAAACAATTTTTTTAAAAAATATTTATATTTTTAAGGTAAAATGAAAGACCATCTCCGCAGGTCAACGCTTGAGAGTAGAGGGGGAAGGTAAGGGAATTCCCCTATTCCCAAATATTTTATAGTTGGTGGGGCTCGAACTTGTTACCTCAAAGTCACAATATAAGTTCTCCACCAACTCTACAAAACTTTGCTTGGTAAGAAAAAAAATTGTGTCTTTCATATACGTCATGTGTTGTGTATGTACATACAAAGTGTATATGATTCTATATTGGTATATTTGTGTAAATTTACACAAATTGTCTTCCTCATGTTATGTAGTTAATAAAAATTAAATTTAATTAATTATTTATAATAAGATTTTTTAAGTTTGACATTGCTCCACCCTTGCCGATCCAAATTGGGACAATTAAATGTATGGCTTTTAATCAAGCCATTTTCTTAGTCTCAATTTAGCTTGTTTAACTATATTCCTGGTTTTAGGATAAGGTTTGATATTATTTCTTAGTTATCAAATAAAATTATAATAAAAGGCATACTACACATGCCATGGAAGATAGTATGATATATTTTAATGAAAATAGTAGATATAATACTTCCTCTATTATTTTTAATTAATCTTACATTTTGTTTTTTAAACTCAAAACGAAGATATATTATGTTAGCCTATAAGGCTATAAAGTTTCATTACAACAAAAGAGCAAGGGGAT